GTGATCATTAATTATGACACAGCGTATGACTCCGAAAATGACTGGCCACTGGCCGTGTACTACATCTTGTTTCCCTTTCCAACAGAGTTGTCTAAACAAGGCCAACAAACGGCCTTCTATGTGAGTTGGCCCAAGTATTTTTTGTAACAGTTTAACAAGTACTAAATTACGACCGTTGTTTAAGTTCTCCACGGACACCTATTGCACTGGAGCAGAGACAGAATTCCGTGTGCGAATGAACCCAGCCTCATCTGTAGTTTATGGTTAATTTTAGTTCATGGGGACAATACACTCATTGAATCACACTAACGTTTTGAAACCCCTAGTGACCAATAAATAGTTATAGTAATGGACATAAATGTACAGTGCATCCACATGTATGTTTGATATGAGTCACACACATGCTGGCTGCCCACTTGTCTTCACTCACTGTACCAGGAGCCCAGGAGGGGCCTGTTGCTCCTCACTGTTATACAATACATATTGTATAACAACTGGGCGCGTGTGGGCGGCTGCTGCCATCTGCGGAGATACAACCTCTGCTACGGCGCGCTCCGCTCTGGATGTTTGTGTCCGGCCTGCAGCCACAAATAGAAGTGCGTCATCTACAGTATCTACAGTCCCTGCTGCATGAAAGGAAGCTAATAGAGCACAAGCTTGTAGTGATTGTATTAACTCTGGCTGGCATTACAAAGCACCACACATGTTTCCACTCAGCCGCAATCACAAATATAGATCTGCGTGTTATTCACAAACCTCAAACGCTTCAAACTTCACAGGCTGTTATGTTGTAGCTGAATGACACCAACAAAACAAACAAACATGGATCAGTTTAGTTCAACTTTAATGTGTAATGAATGTAATGTCCTTCCTTTCCATCAGACACCCACTCAGACAGCAGGTTAAGTTGGCTAAAACTGTTTTTTTCCCTTTTCCTTTGAGTGAAAAATGTGCAAGGCTATACCGAAGCTAGGAGCGAGAGAGAGAGAGCAATGGTGTCTCTGCTTCGGGAGAATATAATTTACTCAATGATATTTTCCTTACTACATATACGTACAAATCATTCTCTTTAGAAACTTTGAGACTGTAAATTAAGCAGTCAACTCAAGGTGTATTTGGACCACAAGTCAAATGACCACTAGGGCACACGTCAAATGAAAGTCACAAATAGGGAAAAGTATGTTTCCAATGACACAATATTAGACAAACGCTTTGACAAATGCACCAACAATATCCCCCTATAACGAGTATTTTCTTGATTTTCACAAAAGCTAGTTACAACAAATTCACTCTAACAAACAAACAAACTCAAAAACCCTACGCAAAGACAAAGAGAATGAAGAATGATCGCAGAAGACGTGCACAAACAAGATGCAGAGAATGAACTCCATCAACTCCAGTCAGAGCTCAACGCTGAACTGTTGCTATGGTGAACAAAAGCATGGCTTTCCAGTCTATTTTAAGGATGTCGCTGTTACATATTTCTCTCACTGCATCTATCAGACTCAGACAAATTACATTAAGAGAGAAAAGTAACGACATGCAAAAAATTAATCTTCTGTCTTTTTGTGTGAAATTGAAAATCCATGACAGTTGTATTAATCTAACAATTGCTTTTGTTTAACGGCACACCACCCATGGCCTTGCACCAAAGTACATACGTGACATGTTAGTGCAATATGAACCAACTCAGATTCTGAGAAGCACAGAGACTGGCCTTCTACTGGTGCCCAGTGTCAGGACTAAACATGGGGAAGCAGCATTTTGGATATATGCAGCTGAAGTCTGGAACAGTCTTCCTGAACATGTGAGACAGGGTCCTACTTTGACAAAGTTCAAATCCAGGTTCAAAATAGTTGAACAACTGAAGAATTGCACTTCACTGTTCTTAATGTTTTGAGATTGTTTGGGAATTTATTGCCGTGTATGATTTCAATTGATTGTTAAAGGTTCCATATTACGCTTTTCTTCATGTTTCACAGTCAATCCTATGCACATGTGTGATAATAATTTGAGTGATACACCACACAACACTCAAAACTTGTGAGATTATAGCCATCTCTTGCAAAGACGTGACGTCACCTCAATTCAAACAGGCGGATTCAGAGAGCAGTCTGCTCCTCTGCCTGTGAGCCCACCTCCCCCCGCCCTAAACAGTTGTTTATCTCAGGTACAAAGTCATTTCAGACCTGAGGATAAACTTGTTCCAACAATGACAATCTGTAACATCGAGCCCTATGTCCTCGATGCACAATTAGACCCTGATTATTTAGTTTACAGAAGTATTCGGTGAGTTAGCGTCACTGTACTTACAGATTGGGGGTCCATGTTTGTGTCTTTTATCGTGGGATTAACACTGGTTTCCAGATCAGTTTTTGAGTAAGTCCAGTTCCATTTTCCCTGTAGTTCTGGAACAGTCTCAGTGAAGTGTTGCAGATGAACAGATTCATTCAAACAGAGGCAAATCCACGTGAAAAAAGTCAAGCCGCATTCTTCCTCTTTGGGCCAAATAGTGCGTCACATATTTACACCCAAAACACATTTTCTCCAAGTTGACATGATCCCACTTTATAGTCGCTGACAAAAGCAGAAAAACATGAGGCGTCTGCGGGAGCAAACCACAGATACGCTGGACTCTGGACTTCGGAACTGGCTGCGCGCTGTGATTCGCTGTTTCGATTTGTCTATTTATCACCTCTCGGTTTTTAGTATTATTATTATTTTTGATTATTTTTGACAATAAACAGCATACTTTTTGTGTATTGTTTTTCCTGTTTTGACGACAGTATTTCAAGTTTTTTAAATCAGTGTGGTAATCGTCACAGATGTGGACCCGGTCTCTCAAGGGTGAAGGAGAAAGATCGCTCTCCAACTAAAGCTTGAAATAATCAATGAAAAAACTACTCTGGACATGTGTATGAGGCCAAATAGCACTGTAGTTATGTTCAAAGCAGAGAAAAGTCAAAAAGCGTAATATGGGACCTTTAAGCATCTTGATTTGCCTTGTGTATGAACTGCTCTATACAAATACACTTGCCTTGCCTTTTCATTATGGTTCCATTGATTTGCCTGTAGAGTTCTACCTCTAACTAAAAAGAACACAATGAACAACAAAAAGATGATGAAAACATGATATATATTGTAGGCGTAAACATTCAGCACCGCTTTAACAATGTAATAGTATGTTACCGTCGCATCTCCTGTTGTGATTGCACCGAATCCAACCACAGCGATTAAGTGTTGATTAACGCACATTGTGAGTGTGATATCCTGTAACAAGTGGAATCGCACTCACCTGAAGCTTTCGGGAGATCGACACCATGGAAGGGTGAATGAGTGTGTGTTTGTGAGTGCGACTGCGAGACGACCAGAGTGTTGTGTTCATTATCATGCACTGTTCCAACCAAATAAACAATACATAAATCAAAAAAAACAATATTGAGATGTCCGGTTTTGGTGAGGACAGAGGTGAGAACTGCCATAAGAACTTTCCAAAGTAAGTCAAGTAAACCCAAAGACAAAAACAATTGTGGTTGAAGTGAACACAAATAATGAAAACCGTATAAAGTGATCATAAAATGCTACTTTATTGACTTTTCTTCGGCTTCCAATTCTGAAAGTACAGTAAATAAATCCCTGTTTACATCACATTTTGTTGAGCAGAAATCCAAAATGTTGATGTTATCATGATACAGATGGAACTAAAATTAGAGTATCATTAAAAGTTAATCTATTTCTGTGTTTCAAATTACAACAGGCTTGCAGTCAAATTTCAAAATATTCACATTTTCTGAGATATTTTACTTGGGTTTTTACAAGCGTGAGCCATTTAACAGATCTCACTTTGTGCGAAATGAATCTGTCATATTAGTTTCATTTTGCAAGTTGGATGACAGGAGTAAATTGATAAATAACTTTAAATATGTACTCGTTGCTAGACGGAGTTGTGGAATTCCCCAGTCAATCACTCACACCATGACAAAAAAGTATGTGTGAGAACTGTGTTTACTTGATGACAAAAGGATGATTTAACCAAAATAGCACATGACTCTGTCATTAGTATCAGCTCCTGATGTGAAAGTAGCACAATAGCCCAGATGTACCCTGGTAGTGGTAATACTAGAAGTGTTGGCAACAGGCTTTGGCAGCAGTGACTGTAATGAAGATTCTAATAAAGAGCTCTGTGGTTGTCATACACTCCCTGCTACAGGCCTGGTTCACTAAACAGGAAGCCGCCGCAGCAGACGTCCCAGTGGGGCGCAGTGAGGAGTGTGTGAGTGAATGTGCTACACTGTACGAGTCCACACTGCTGGGACTGTGTGTGGCGCTTACATTCCCTTATTTAAAACCACAGAAACACACAGGTCTGCAGAGGTTATGGGAGAGAGTCCTTTGCTGAGGATGGAAAGAGGATATTTTACTCACTTCACAGACATCCAGAGATGAAGACTCATTTATGAATGTCCACTATTAAAATATACCTGGCTTACAGTAAAAAAAAAAAAAAAGCAGGAACTAAAAGACACAAATAAAATTTCGAACAAGCTATAGCAACATAGTAATAGCTATATATAATAAAATTATATTTAGCATCTTTCAACAAGGGTTTCATTTACAAAAACTGCACTCGTAATGTGACAAAATCTAGTAATGTTTGTGGATATGAACACTTTTTCAACTGAGTATTACATTGCAAAAAGGAACCATTTACATGAATCCAATACTAATGTTAATGTTGATAAGTCAGACTCACCCTTAGTATCAACATAGAGTTGGCAAAGTGTAATTTTAATATTGTGTCAACAATACTTACTATTTACTTGTGACACACATGGGTAGACACACTAAATATGTTTATTCTTCTCATTGTAGATTGCACATTTCTTAGAGATTAAAACCTCAGCCAAAGACACGATGGCTATTTAACATTCCCTGCATAGTGTTCAGTCCTTGTAGAGCATGCATTAAGAGCAGCATTCATCAACGACTGCTGTAAAAACATGATAGAACTCGCTCGCCCTGGCAGCGCTGGACCACAATATCCTTCCATTATAGAGCACTCAGGTCTGTGCAGCAACATGGCAGCGCACGGGACCACCTCCACACCAGACTATGGACATTTGGTTGGTACTTATCTTTGGCCGCGTGAGAAAGCCCAGGGCACCGGCGCTGTCAGCGATAAGCCCGAGGTAATAAACGAGCTGAACAAGAGACGAATATGTGCAAGTATTTTCCCATCAGTCGGGACATGTCAGGCTCTGCTGTGGGTCATTAGCGTGTATGGGTTGCGTCCAAGTGATACCAAGGCACAGAGCTCTGGCTGTGGGGACTGCGAAGAACCTTGACAAAAGGGAAAACCGGCCTAGATCTGAATGCTACTAAAGGCAAAGTGTTTGAAGGTGTGTTTTTTCTAGAAAGCGGGCATGTCCCATTTCCAAAAGAGAACTGCAACTACAATAATCAACAAGGAAATTGATTCTTAACCTCTCACACATGGACACTGGGGCAACTATTACAAGCTTCTCTCCCACTGAGTCAAACCGTACAATAAAAACTCACGAGGGGGTCTCATGCCAGGCTCACATTGCACACTGTGGACGATGGTTTCGGTATTTGCCCGATTTGTCTCAATTTGGGGACTCGCACCAACACCACAGTGGTCTCTGGAGCACGACCAGATTAGCCATTTGCTGAAGGTAAAAAGAACTGAGAAGACATACATAGATAATTATACAAAGTTGAGAATCCATTGAGCAAATAGATTCCAATAAATGTATCCTTGGATCATCTCAGTCAAATGTTCATACTTGTTCATACTGACTCTGATCATCTCAAGACAAATGTTATTTTTTGAGCATCCTGTTGAGATTGAAAAGCTATTTTTCAAAGAGGGTCCAGGTCAAGAGGCAGCAAAGTTACACATTGAATAGATACATATTCAAATGGAAGGTTGACACATAAAAGAGGCACATCAAGTAAAACAGATGAGTTTCAAGTTACAGATCAAAAGGACAGCTTTAAATGCTCTCGGTTTCAACTTAAAGGTATTGAAGGATAAAAACTCAGTCAGCTTTCAGTCTCTTTGTAGCACGTTCCAAGCACAAGGACAGCTGATCGTTGGATGACAGGGCATAAGAGTCCGTATTTCTGTTTAATCAATGTACAAATGCAAGAGGGCAGTAATCCGAGCGGAGCCTCGTAAATGAAAGTGTATCAATCGCACTGCCTCCAAGTCGACAAAAAATGCTGTACCAGTTGAGAGAACAGTCCTGGATCTACAGTTTGTGATGAACCTCAGAGTCCACAATGTGAAGCTATGAACAACCAGCATTCAAATAAATTGATCACCATAATCTAACACAGATATATTGTGGCAAGGAGGAGTCAAGAAGACCAAAAAAAATGGAACAATAGCATGTCATCAAATCAAGCCAACTAGATCCTGACTAGTTTTCACACGCATGCATTTTTCAACCTTCGTCACATGTTTAGATAACCTTTTCAAAAAGAAAAGTCAAAAAGAGAGGGGCACTCTTGTTCAACCAATGCACTCTCAGCCCAAGGCGTAAATAGTGACTCACAGGGCTCTACTGTCGATTTACAGTAATAGACAACAGATAACGTGTTTTTTTTATAAGATGAAACATGTTGCGGTCTGATTTGTTCAAAACCTCCTTCTTCTAACGCTCTTTTTGTTGGACAAATAAGATGTCTATGTCATTCCATGACATTCTCTTCAAGCATGGACACTACACAGCTTATAAGTCGCACAGTTGGACCGATGTGACTACGTATGAAACGGGACATTTCTTGTTTGAACGAGGCGTCGGAGAGAACAAGTTGTAGTAAATAACGATAGTCACAATGCACAGGGGACTCTCAGCGCTGTTATAGCAGTCAGTAATTCAGGCCAAAGCTTTCCCCGAGGACAGCGCTGGATTAAGCAACATCAGTCAAATCACACACACTCAGCTTCTGCAAATCAAATCAATCTGCTCCACCCTTTAAACAGGGGACAATAAAGTGAGAGCGAGCCCGATCGAAACAGGAAGGAAGTACTGGAGAAAAGAGGCCAAGTCTTTCAATAATTCACCGACTGCTGCTTCATTTGGGGAGAAATCAGTGTCCCAACTCCACTCCAGGATCTGAAAGCAAGATTCTGTCCACTCAGCTAGAGATATCAATGTAACAACTCTTTAGCTACAGTATAAATATACATACATGAGAAGGAATTGTAATGAATATGACTTCAAATCAATGATGTTCTTTGATGTCTATAGAGGTGAAAACGTATTGTTCAAATAAATATGTTTATATAAAAGGTTTGAAATATCTCACCTGAAGTGAGTTGATATCATAAAATAGTTTAACATTGTACGTTAAATCACAGAAATATGTAGTATAGTTTTATAGTTATGTATTATAGTTTTACGAGTTCCTCCTGTATACAAGCCATATTTATTTTGATTAATACTTAAACATATTACTGTGATCAATTTGTGGGGAATTCATGATGAAGAAAATAAATAAATAGATATGGGTAAATAAATGATCCCTCCCTTCGAGTCGCATATGGACGGCAATATCACTTGAAGAAATGCTTTCAGTGTTGATTGAGGCTGAGTCGGGTAAATGTATGCAAAGCTGAGATGCGAGAAGAGGTACTAATGGAAAAGGCCTTATAGTGAATTGTAGCTTCCGCCTTCCTGCAATTTGTAAATCAGGCACAGTAAATCATGTTTTTATTGGCTTTGCTCGATTAAAGATAATTTGCAGTTTGCAGGTACAACTTAACCACCTTTTAGACCAATCGTTTTAGCAAGAAAACAAAAGCCGGTCAGATCATAAATCCCAATTAAGGTCTAACTCTGAATATGTGTGTCCAAGCGCAGCTCCTCCGTCTCCAAGACATAGATTTCTATTAAAGGATTAATGTGGAGTCATTAGTGCAGCTGGTGCAGTGAGAGGAGCTGGGCCCTGAGAAATAGGCTTCATTACATCTTTATATAATAGCCCTTTTTCTCTGTATACAGGCCCAGCACTTTTCTCTTTGATAATGGCACCGGCTTCACTCACTAAAAGCTCCGTTTAAAAATACATTCTTCCACAAAGCTTCAGTCTGTCTCAGTCAATGCTGCGAACACAAGTGCCCAGATGGAATGCTCAGTGTGTGGGAGTGCATATGTCATTTCACTCATTCAGATCTGCATGTAGACAACACTGTTTGCTTTTGAAAGACAGTAACGATTTTTACAACCACTATTATAGCCCAGCCGTCACATGCTTGGATCAGTTTTAGAGGAGACAAAGACAAATGTTTGAATGAACTTGGTACATTTTGTCAATAGCAATACAGCTGTAAACACGAACAGATGGTGACTTTAATATTGGTTTCTTTTAACCCCTTTGGTACATTTTGACAAAGCCTTCAAAGCCACAAATTATGTTTAAGAAATGTTCACCACACAACTACATTAGAGTACCTCATGAAAGAGAATAACATTTGTAACTATCACATCAAAGAGAAATCACAACTTCTGTGGTCACAATTAAGAAATCAGAGATTGCAATTATTTAAATTCTTTGCAAAAAATAAATAAAAAAACACTTGAATTTGGGAACATTATTTTTATTTGAATATATTTTGAATATTTTGAGAGCCTTGTTGTTGGACAGAAGAATTATTTTCTGATTCCAAATGAGACATCTCTTTTTCTTTTCATATAGAAAAGGTGCACATGTTGCACAACACAGGTCTGACTAAAAGAATGTAGCAAAACTACTTTTCATGTTATCTATACTTTACATTATTAAGTAAATATTCTATTGACTAACTATAGAAGAACTAATACACATTTTCTGAAATGAGTGAGATAATTATTTTATCATGTGCTTTTATCTAAATGTAAATCTCTTGAAGTTTTTTTTTATTTTTATTCGACCTTTTGAATAAACAGGATATTATACATTGTGTAATGCCTGTCATAAATATTACAATTACGGTAGATATTTTGCCAAAATTGTGCAGCCCAAGCACATAGTAATTGCGAGAAATAACCTAAATATGGCCTCTGCTTTCCTCTCAGTAGAATTGGGATGGATTTTGAACTCCAGGGCCCTTTCGATTACTTCATCTGCATGATGATTATTCAGCCAAATGGAGCAGAAAAAGCCTTAACATTAGTCCCAGAGCCTACGTGCAGGTCCAGCACTACTTGTAATGATTTACATGTGTGTACGCTTTACAGTGACCCGGAGCAGCAGGCTTCAGTGTTATGTAATCTTTTCTGTCAAGTGAAATTCTCACAGACACCTCCGCACTCACACACACACACACACACACACACACGCTCACATACTCACACACGCACTCATGCTGGCAGCTGCCGGTGCCTTCACAGCACTCAGGGGTTATTCCAGTCGTGGTGAGAAAACACTGTGTGGTTTCTTGGCACAATCAAGACACAGACGCAGCTCCCTCCCACCTCCCACAGCAGGTAAACCTATAGCGATTACTCATATAGTTCAAATATGCCCATGTTGCACTGATACTAAATATTTTTAAAATGTATTATCATTTTTGTATTCCAACTTACAAGAAAACAACATTAATTTCATCATGAGCTGAATAGCCAAGACAATGATGACAAACCAGAGCCTAAGTGTATTTCTAAACCTAACCCTAACCATAAACTGAATATATAGACTAAAATATATAGATAACCAATCCAATATGGAACTGCCTTTTTTATTACTTTACACATTACAGAGTTTATTGATTTGCAATTGTGAGAAGTAACCATTGTAAACCATTTGTAAATATGTTCATGGTTACATACCAATAGGACCACATACAATTTTTCTTTTGATGAGGTCCTATTGGTACGTTTCTTTTGTCTGTGTATCAATGTGATTACTACGTATAGTCCACAGTACCCTTCCTCCCCCTATATAATGACAGTTCTAAGGCACTGTGCAGCCAATATATTCGAATGGCTATCACAACAACATAACACTACCCACTCAAAAGTAGCACTGAATAATCACTATCCTGTTTGCTTCCATAATAGAGATCTGGCTAGTAATTGACATAATCTGCATCATTTCTCTTTGGTGCAATGAATCACATGATTTGTTTATAGATGATGACAATAAGGGAAAAATATGTAAATGTTGAATTCGTTGTAAAAATGCAACATACTGAAGTCTTCATAGAAGCAGTGAACTACGCATGAAATTGAAAATGTTGGAGAACCCTTCGACTCTTACAACTCATAAAGGGAAACTAGTTTAGCTGAATGGGCTATTAGCGCACACCACCTCTTCACTCATAAAAGCCTTGTGG